AGGGTCATGTTTGGAATGCCTGTCATCCTGGTCTTCTAAATACATACTGCTTGTCATGACATACCAATTATTGCCATACTGTCTCTCTGTTGCGCACGACCTCGCCAGCAAGGAAGACGCAACACACAGCTCTTCCTTCAGTGGTTTATTCAGGCCCCTTACAGCAAGCTTCTTCTTTTCCAATCCCCCAGCCCTTGGCTAATATATACTCCCGAGCCCAATCCCAGTGCGCCACGTGGGGATCGCCCATGGGTCCAGCATATGCGGAAGCGAATCATGACTGCAGCCCTGGCCATATAAGGAGTTGTTGTGCACAGAGAGCGCTCACCCACGGGGAGTGGAAGGCGGAAACCAGCGCCATCTTGTAGACGCGGTCCTTCGCAGCTCTCCACATCTCTCAAGTAAATGTTTGTTTTTTGAAAAAAGGGTAATAAATGAAAAAAGAGACAAGAAAAATAAATGTCACAGGACTGTCCTGCTACAATGCTGTATAAAGTTAGATTTCTAAATTTCTGTGTAAAAATATGTAATGTTTTATTCATATCTTTAAAATATTTTTTATTTTTATAATTTTCTCTCCATATTCTGAAAGGACTTCAAGTTTGACATATCAATAATAGATGGAAAATACCTGTTCCATATTATGCCTAAGATGTTTGATATTCAGACAGTGAGGTTAAACCCAACTGCATATGTTGTAGGGTAATAATAAGCTTCTCTTCTGGAAGGTTAACAACCTAAGTTTGCAGACCAAAAATTAGAGAAAAAGAAGGGCTGCAAGGACAGCCAACATTTGGCCCTAACCTTTCAAGGTCAGTGAAGACTCAGCACATAGGAGAACTTATAGTGTAACATCATGTAACTCAGTTGTGTTCCAAATTTTCTGATCTAGGAGATGATGGGGCCACAGAGGAATGTGATTGTTGATGTAGAGTGTGACTAAGGAGAGTCACCTAGAGAGAAAACATTGTCTCAGGCTTTCACTTTCTTTTCAGAGAGCAAATTGGTCAAGCAATGGCCGTGATTTATCCACATGGCTGACACTGACAAAGGATGTGCAAACTGCAGTACAGGGTAACAGGATAAATCCTGAGGGGACTTGACTGAACTTATCAGATAGAAAAGATATATTTCTTGTTATATAAGTCTTGCTTTATCTTGGTCTTTACAATACAGCAGAAAAGTATAAAAATGAGGTATAAAAAGTAAAGCCATATTAATATGCTGAGCTGTGAAAGGCTCAAGTCAACAACTTCTGACATTGCCAGTCCTATGGATAACCCACTACTAATATGGACTACTGGACTGCATTGGATTATTTTGCTGAATTCACGCACCTACAATATTTAAGTGGCAATGGAATACCCATCTCTAATAAAACTAAACAAAGAAAGGGGATACAAAAGAAGGACCATTTTGCATCTGTATATACAAAATAGTTAGGATAGATACACAGCTACTCTCTCTTAATTCAATGAGAAGAAAGATTTGCACTAATAGTATTTGGACAGGATATCATGTCTGCATCTTGTACTATGAATAACCACCAAGAAGATAACAATATGTAATGTATTAATTATTGAAACTGTCCTATTAATTGGTTTTGAAACTGTCTCATTGCTGTTTCTCAATAAAATTAATAAAAAAACTGTTAGTAATCAATTTTGAAACTGTCTCATTGCTATTTGTTTCTCAATAAAATTATTTTTAAAAATTAAAAATAAAAAATAAAAAAATGTCGTTGGGATTTTGATAGGTATTGTGCTGACTTGGTTCACTGCTTTGGATAGTGCATACACTGACAATATGAAGTCTTTCCATCCATATTATTTTCCATAAACATTAATGTCTTTGTATTTATTTGTATTTTCTTCTGTTTCTTTGAGAAATGTTTTGTAGTTTTCATTAGTATCTCATTTCTTTTTATGACTATGTGATATTTTAGTGTATGGATATGCAGTATTTAATTTACCTAGCCATAGTTGATAGTTGTTGGGTTATTTCTTTTGTTATGAATAATGCTGCAAAAATACATGTACAAAAGTTTTTGTATGGATATTTTTTCATTTCTTTAGGATTTGTCTTTGACTTTTAAGAAAAACTGAATTTAAATAAAAATAAGTCCTTTGAAAATCCAGGCTAGTGAAAGGCATTGCAAGTATGATTTTTTTTATGTTTTAAATAGAAATGAAAGAAAAAAATCTAGTTGTTCTTATTCAAAAGCTAGAGGAACCAAATACATATTTTCTTACAGACAACAAATTGAGATCTTACATATCAATGTTGTAAATAGTTGCTAACTGATGTATTTTAAGTTGAAGGGATTGTTGGCTATCTACATGAGTATCCAGGTACAGTGGCAATCCTAGTTACAAGAACGCTGAAGCAAGAGGATACAAGTTTGAGGAGATTAGGGTAACTTAGAAGACTGTACTTTATCTGGGGATGTACCTCAGTGGTAGTGCACCCCTGAGTTGGATCCGTAGCATTTAAAACAAAATCAGAGTACCAGTCAGCAGTTTTGACTACATTCCTGTAATCCCAGCACTCAGGAGGCTGAGACAGGGCGATTGCTGGGAGGTCAAGCCCAGCCTAGACCACACAGTAAGTTCGTCATCTTGAACTACATAACAAGACCTTGTCTCAAAAAGAAAAATAATCACTTGACCAGAAGAGTCCAAATGGAAAGTAATAAGAGTAGAAGTTAGAAGGGTATACTTCCCTGTTTTATGTAGTCTTGGGTGAAGTTACTTGTATTTTATTGGTAAGACATTTTTCTCTACTTACCTGATATTTCTTCCTTAGTCATAAGCATTAGTAAGATCATTCACTAACTTCTTTGACACATTTACTGAATACCTTTTATGTACCAAGCACCGTGGTTGCACTGGCATACTGGTGATACCTGCTGTAGCAATGCAGAATCATAGTCTGATGGAAAAATCAAAGTAATTTCGTGAACAACCATAATACAGCATGAAAAGTGTAAAATAACAGATGGATATATATGTTGTCAGAATTGAGAGAAAACACAGTCCTCCTAACCATTCTTATCACCACAGAAGTTCCTAAAAGACAGATCTCATTATCTTTCAAGAGATGTAAGATCTGCTGATGAGTTACTGTAAGTCATTAGGCTGTTCATAATTCTCTTATTGGATTCACATTTTTACATGATTATATTTAAACTCCTTGATCCTGTTTCATTTATCTAAAAGGCTCTTCCCTCCTACCTGGGGCCGACTTTCGCTTGAAAACTCAGGCCAAGTATTATCATTGCTTAGAAGATTTCCTACATGTTCTGTAAAGTCTTGATTAGGTAATTGTCTGTACTGTTTCTCCCACCCTGTACATATATCTCTGACTCCCCATACCATCCTATCTTATAATCATCTCTGTATTTCTCTTCTCTCTGATATGTTCTGTGGGCATGAATTCCTTGAGGACATCAGCCAGGTCTTGTTGGTATTTTTATCCTTGTTGTCTAGTATACAGTAGATTCCTGATGTTTAATAAATGAATGAATAAGCTAGTCAGTGAATTAGTTAACTTTATAGTAAGAGGAGAAGGAAAAGAGAGATGACATCTGCTCAGAGCCTTGGAGGATGCATGAGACTTACCAGAAGTAGAAAGGGAAAAAGAAAAAGGCATTCCTCCCCAGCACCACATCAGCTACAAAAGCACGGAAATGAGAAAAGACCTAGCATGTTTTTGATACTACTATCACTATGGATCAGAGTAAAAAGTTTCAAAATCTCTGAATTTACTTGTGTCCTATGATCTAGAAAGCACAAGACCTGTAAGTATTGCTTTTTTAAATACTTGTAGGTCGTTAAAAATGATCCAAACACAAAAATACACATTCACTTATCCAGCTTTGGAAACAATAGAATTTTATAAATAACACAATTCTATAAACTTAAATGTAAATCACTCCTATAATACTTGCCTAATATTTTCCTTCCACTCTTTTTTTCTACCTCCTATTTATTTTTGTTTTATTTCTTTTAAATAAATAATTTTAAAAAATTAAAAAATAATAATAATAATAAAGACACGTTCTGACTGGAGAATGTAAGGAACAAGTGATGATTTCATTTGAGCACTCACTTCGCACCGTTGGTCACTGGTGCTCTTCTTATTGCTACCAAATTATTTAGGTTAATGAAGCCACAATTAAAGGGTAAAATTAAAGTGTGATGATTGGAAAGTTTATTCCTTTTCTTTTTAAGACAGAAAAAAGATTTTGATAATAAAAATGGCACATGCTCTTTGTAAAAATTGGGGAATTTTCAAAAAAGTTTAACAAAAGAATAAAAATTAAATTCTAACATTTTAAAATACCAAATGCTCTATATTTTCTTGCATATCTTTTTATCTCTTCTTTTGGCAATATACATGTACTCAATATAGTTGAGATTTTACACTGTATGAACATCTTTGCATGTTTTAAAAATACATATTTTAAGAGTTTTCTTTTGTCCATGAATATCCTTCATAAATATTGTTTCATCTTATATAGTATTGTATCACAAGGATAGGCCATTGATTATGTAAATGCTTATATATCTTTTGATTTCTTTCTTTTAAATAATGTAACTCAAAATAAGCATTCCATAACAATCAATCTATTTTCTTAGGACAGATTTCTAAAGGAAAAATTACTGGGTCAATGGATATAAAAATATTTATGATTCAACTTTCCTCTTGAAGAAAGTCATATTTCATTTATTAAAAGATTAATGACACTGACTTTGCTGCCTGTGTAGTAATTCATATTAAGATAAATGCTTCAGGTATTACTATTAGTATAAATTGTCCAAGTTGTAGTATTTTATTTCAGGCACCAGGATGCACCTTTTCCATCTTCTACTACTTCGGACCAAAATCAGGAGCTCAGCCTGAGCCACTTGCAGTCTGACAAGTCCTCTTGCCAGCTAGTTTATACCTGCAGCTGACCTTGTCTGTCCCAGCACTTACATCTCCTGCTTGCCTTTCAGATGGAATGGGACGAGTCCTTGCTCAGGATGTGTACGCGAAAGACAACCTGCCCCCTTTCCCAGCATCAGTGAAAGATGGCTATGCTGTGCGAGGTAAGTCTTTGGCTTGTTGCACCATCACCACACTCTATTTGCTTAAAAGTTTTGGCTCAACCCAGACACGCAGTTATTACAGCTGCTTGCCCTGTGATTGGCAGAATAACTTCTTTTACAGCAAAGTATGCTAACTATACCTGTATATGTTCTGGTACATCTTGATTGAAATGTGTCAGCAAATATAAATATACAGGGAGCAAATAAAAACACTGTTATTGTAATTTATTCCCTTTTGGGGACTTTTGAAGGAGTGGTTTTGCTTTTGTTTTAAGACAGGGTAACCCCTAATCATGGTGCTCTACCTGCCTGTCTCCCAAGTGCTGGGATTTATTCTTATAGCCCCTCCACTTGTCAGACAGCAGGCAGCCTTGATCTGCAAGTATTCCAAATGCTTTCTACTGGAAAACCTCTATAATCTCGCAGACAAACAAGCAAATACCAAACACAGACATGAAGTAAGGCAGTCTGTTTTCTTACTTCACTCTCAAACACTTGTCAGCAAAGAACTTCATGAAAAGCAAGCAAGAGGGAAACCACTACTTTCTCTTTGCATGATACGTACCTCCAGAGCTCTAGAACCTCGGCTGGTACTAGCAGTTCCTCTCCTCACAGTTGCTTGAGATTGCATAAAGCTTGAGAGAAATACTAGATAGCATTTTGCTGCCTAACGTCCAATCTAAGAACCAAAGATGAAAACGCAATTTAATTTTTAGACACTTATTGGATTGTTTTGCTTTATTTTGGTTTTCTGTATGCAGTATATTTTGAAATATGTATACATTATAGAGTGGTTCAGTTAAGCTAATTAACATTGCGTTACCTTACATACTTATTTTTTGTGATGAGAACACTTAATATCCACTCACAATTTTTAGAATATACTATAACTCAGTTATTATGTTGTTAGTTAACAACTCAAGGCTGATTTTAAAATATAGTATATTTCACTATTATTGTGTTATTAATAACTCAAGGCTGATTTCAAAGAAATACCTTTTTAAAGCATCAATTTTATGGAAGAGTTTGAGGACTAGATAGATTACATCTTCTGTAAATGTTTTGTAGAATTCAGCTGTGAATCCATCCGGACCTGGACTTTTCTTTGTCAGTAGGTTTTTAATTACATCTTGTATTTCATTGGCGGTTATTGGGCTATTGAGAGTGGTTATATCTTGTCGATTCAGTTGTGGTAGTTTCTACCTTTCTAGGAATCTGTCCATTTTTTCTGTGTCTTCTATTCTGTGAGAGTAAAGATTCTCAAAGTAACTATTGATAATCTTCTGACTTTCCACTGGGTCTGTGGTAATTACACCCTTTTCATTCCTTATTGTTTGTATTTGAATTTTTTCTTTCCTTTGTTTGATGAGGTTAGCTAGAAGCTTATCGATATTATTTAATCTTTCAAAGAACACAGTTCATTGCTTTTTTAATTCTTTGAATTGTTTTCTTCGTCTCAATTGAATTAATTTCTACTCTAATCTTTATGATTTCCTCCCTTCTTTGGGCCCTGGGCTTGGTTTGCTCTTGCTTTTCTAATTGTTGAAGGTGCTGCATTAGGTTATTCATTTGTTCCCGTTCTGTTTTCCTAATGTGTGAGTTCACAGCTATGAATTTCCCTGTAAGGACTGCTTTCATCATATCTCATAAATTCCGATAAGTTGTGCTTGAATTTTCATTGAATTGTTGATACTGTTGAATTTCTTGTTTAATTTCATCTGTGACCCATTGGTTGCTGAGTAGGGTGTCATTTAATTTCCATGTATT